CTCGTCTCCTACCTTGACTGACAGAAATAACACAATGCCATTATGGTGCAGAAGCTTTTCCCTTATCCCATCTGAGACATTAAGGAATATGTTAACCAGGGTTGGATGTGGAATGGAAGCTTGACACCCTGCTCTTATTTTGCTCTGATTTCTCAATGGAAATCAGTCACTTTGGTTTTGCTCTTGTTTTACTGTGGGGTTTTGTTTCTGTTCAATATGCTGATTCTTATCTCCTGAGTGCTTATCATCACTTCTGTGCAGGATCTTGTCAAAGGGCTTTTGAAACTTCATGTATGTTAATCAATCAGTTTATCTACTTACAGACATTTTCCAGTAAATCCAGGAATTATGTAAGAACTAATATCCACTGCTGAAATGCTAGTTATATTTAGAATTTCCATCTGACTTGTTCTTTTGGCCAAGTTAAGTTACTGTGTACAGTTTGAAGGCCAATACCTGTAGATTTGGTATTTTTAAGTGGTTTATGGCAAAAGTTGTTTTTAACAAAAACTTATGTATTTTTGTTAGCAGCTCACCTGCTTTATACTTATGTTCCTGTAGAAGTTTTGTGTGTAAACATGTTTGATGATTTATTAAAAATTATTTTTATTTTTGTTATTGTTTTTTTTTCTGCATACCTTCTTCTGACTCTGGCCTCTGAGTCTTGACTAAACTGCAGAGGGGATGCTCAGAACTTACCTGATATGGAGAAGGCATATCAGGGGAGGAGAATGCAAATTCAGACCCAACTACTCATTCTCCAGGCTTTCCAGACCAGATACATCCTGAAAGTGTGACATGCACTGAAAACTTAGATGCACCAATACAATAGCTGCTGCAGAGATGGTCGATTTAAATAAAACTCATCAGGAGTAATAAGCACACTATGCTTCTTGCATAATAGCTGAGAGGTTTGAGCATTTGGTGTAAGAGGGGAAGTTGACCCTATTCTCAGACTCTATTTGCATTTATTAGTCCATATTTCATTCTGTTCTTCTCTAGTCTAAAAAGCATGGGCTCTTCAGGGAATATGGATTGGAACAGTGTCGCCTCATTCCTATGAACTTAAATGCTAGGCTAAAAACCCTTAGATTTCTTTGCTTACTGTGTTCCTGAGCTTCACATCCTTATGACTGCAGCCTCACCATCAAGGGTCAGTTTTTCACAGTGAGACCACTTTCTTGAAAAGTGAGAGATCTGAAAAAGACTTGAGAGGGATCAAAAGTCATCCCTCTTCCTAGGCAAACGCTGCAGTACTAGTTGTTACACAGAAGGTCAGTCTTACACTGTCTGCTATCTATCTTCCCCAGTATTACTTAAGAAAAATAAATCTGTCCCATCAAATGATTGCCCACAGCAGAGGACCCTGCTCTCAGTCCCTGGGACTTTCTACTGCGTAGCTCGCAGACATCTCTCCCACTGGCAAAATTTCTTTCCTCTTCCAAGTAACTGACCCTCCCCAAGCTACTGCAAATACTGCCTAAGAGCTTACTGCTCCATATAGTCCCGCTATGCTCAAATGCCCAATATTAGGCAAAACAATGCCTAGTTTGAGAGTATCTAAAATTACTCTTCTTTTGCATAAAGGTAGGGGGAAAAAAGCATATGCAGTCTGTCAAAATTGTCTGCAAGTGCTCGAAACCCTACATGAGTTCCAGATGCAATCCCAAATGCCTGTTTCCCAGCACTGCCTATTACTGTGAGCAACTCCCTACTGAACCTGAAAGCTCCTCAGGCATTTAACTATATTCACCCACACATGCTAAGGAGATCCTGTTCTGGGAAGATAGGTACTTATCTCTTGCCTCAAGTCCCAGTACAATCCAGCTTAGGAAGACAGGCATTTAAATCCCTTTTAGAAGCCTGAAAAATTAGCAGCAGTCAGAATTATGTCTGGCTTCTTCCGGCATGGGCCATCAGCTTTGACATACATATTGAGAGTGTGTCTTGAGCTAAGCACAGGAGCGCAAGTGTACATTTTACCATTTGAGAGGGACTGATGTGTCACCATCAACATCTTACGAGACTGCCCCAACTATTACACCATGCTTGGGCAAAAAGCATCAACCTCTCCTAATGAACTTGAAGGACTGTGTGGTGGATACGAGGAGTTGTCGGCTCCAGTTCTCATCTCAAGAGGAGAAAAACCAAGGGGAGCAAACTCACATACCTGGAAAAGATGTGTCATACAGGAGAAAAGAAAAACAAGGCATAACCTCATAACCCTCCACCCTGTGCCAGAGAGTGCCTGAACTGCTAGGATAACCTTGGGTTTGCTTTTGTCTTCTCTGATGTGGGCCCATGCCTCATGTGTTCCTGGCTGCACAGGCCCTCAGCTGCAACACCTACCTTCCATGCTAGCCGATGGTTGTTGATTATGCCATTCTGCTGGGAAGTTTGATCTCAGGGTTTAATTAGAGTCTAGAAACATCATCCACTTCCTTTCTTATGGGTTTTTGCATCTTTATGCAAAATGTAGATGGAAGCACTGTGATCTCATTAATGTCAGTCCTGCAGGAGGGACAGAGAGACTGGATCATGTGTCGATGGAGTGTTAGGAGTGTTTCTGATGAGCTTCCAAGAGGATATCACTGCACTAGCTGCAGGCTGGCTTTGTCCACTGGCACTGTGAGTTCACTTGCAATTAATGGAAAGGAGGAGGCACTCTACGTGCCTCCAAGAAAGCTGTCAATTTTCTGCAGGTCTTCAGAAGTGCCTCTCTTTCTGTCCTGTGCCAATAAGCAAAGCTGAGGAATTAGATGGTTCCTTTTGTCCCTTCTAGGGCTAAGACACCTAAAATTTCATTGAGGTAATAACATCTCAGTGAGGTATCTAAAGTAGATTGATGAGATTCTGGCCTGAATACTTGAGGCTTTGCAGTGAATGATTGCAAGAAGAAAACCCAAAGTGTCAATAAGAAGATACAGACTATTGAAAACCAAGGAAAAGGAAATATCAACTAAAATTAGGGTATTATAGTACAATATTAGGGTATTATAAGACAATATTTTAAAAGAATCAAAGACTTACAGCCTTTTGGTAATATTTTTATTTCTCCTCTATGCGCCATAAGGCTTTAGAAAAAATAATTTAATATTGTGTAAACAAATTTTCCTCATCCTTTCATGAACCACAAAGGGTTGAAAATAATTGTAACACCCTGAGAAAAAGTAGTAGGACCAATAAGACTAGAATGTCAACCCATCGGTTTTCCCCCACTTAGCCTAATTCTTTGGATAGCGTTGTCTAACAAAAGACAGAGGAGTATTTATTGCAGGAGCTTGAATACACATCAATTGATTCTATTATACTAGAAAACCTGAGAAGGCATGGTACATTTATATATAGATTGTGTAAGTACACTGTAGGCAAGTTTCACAGTTTAATGTTGAAAGAGCTTTCATTAATGCTGTAGTCCTGAGAAAAGTATGTAAAGCAACTTAAAAGAGGTAAGATTTGATTTTTACTGAGATAAGTTGAAAGAATAATTCACGTTTACTAAATGTCAGTGTTTATTCTTTCGTGTCTTTTTATGTGTTGCTCTTTTTACTGCTCCATGCATGGTTGCAAAAAACACACATTAAAAATGAATCCCTCACTGATGTGACTTCATGATGTTTATTATTTATGTTTGCATAATCTCATGTGTTAATAAAAAAAAATAATTACCAGAGATACATAAAATTAAATGCTTGGTTTTGTCCTGGAGCAACTACACACTATGCCTTTACTTTATGTGTAGTTCTGACAGAAGACAGAAAGTCAGTTCTTCTCAGCAATGTGATCTGACACTGAAAAAGTATGTTGTTAACTGTATTTTTTTCTAGAAAGTATGGAGTGTTTTTTTTAAAGAGTAGGAAGAGATTACATTTCAAATGCACTTCCAGAACTTTGTATGGCTTCCCATCATTCTCAAAGACAAAAAGTGACATAAAGATTTGAAGTTGAACATAAAGGTCAATGTGTCCTATTGTGAAATGAGTGTTCTTTTTTTTTTTTTCTGGTTGGTTTTGGTTTGGTTTGGTATCACTATTGAGACTCATCTGCATTTATGAAAACCTGCCAGCTCTTGAATGAAAACCACGACGTTAGGACTAGGTGCTGTATTTCCTGTAGCCGAAACCAGCCAACTACCAGAACTGGTAGGTAGGATGCGCTCTTCTGTCCCGAGTACTCGGCGTTTTAAAAATAAGGCTGAAGATTGAAAACTGGTAACACCAAGTTATATCATTCGATACAACAGGCATCGCTGTAAAGAATGCATTCGTGAGGCTGGTATAAAATTCAGGCTCCTGGTGTAGGAAAGCTCTGTATATTGAGCTGTATTTGGAGAAACTGGCACCTGCAACTGAGACCACGAGAGCCTGAGGTCACAGGGGCCGTGCCCAGCCCCAGTGATGCCCGTGGGAGTCAGCAGCAGCCCCTCCTCTGTGCCAGAGAGAAGGGAAATGGTAGGGCAACCCGATAAGCGATTTCAGCCACGGGATGCTGAGGCAGCGCCGTGTGCCTCGACCCGCCTGGGCACTGCCTGCTTGCAGCTGCCACAGACCTGGCAGCGAGTCATTGCGCCCCTGCCCCGCCGGCCTCACCGGACGGGCTGTCACACCGCCCCTGCCTCCCCGTCAAGTCGCACACGCCGCCCCTCGCCCCCTCCCCAGCTCCCCTGGCGTCCCGGCAGGGGCCGAGCCGCCGCCTCGTCGTTGCCGCCGCCGAGGCCGGTCCGCCCGCCGCCGCCCCTTCCCTTCCCCCGCCACCGCACATGCCCAGAAGGGCGGGAGCCGCGGCGAGCCCGGGCGCTGCTGTGACAGCGGCGGCGCTTTCCCTTCCGTGGGTGGGTGGGGGCCACGCCGCCCCCCGGCCCGGCAGAGACACCGCGCTGGCCGCCTGCTGCTCGAGTGCCTTCCCCGCCGCGCCCCGAGCCCGCCGCCGCCGCGGGGCGGGAGGCGGCCATGTCGCTATTGTCTGCGCTGGTGCCCTTGCTCCGGGTGTACTGCATCGGCCTCCGCGTCATCCTGCACCAGCTGCGCCGCCGCTTTCACTCGCGCTGCCGCCCGGCCTCAGGTGAGCACCACAGCCGGCGCCGCGGGGCGGGGCGGCTCTGGGCCGGGGGTGGCGGCCCCCGCCGCGGAGAGGGGAAAGTTTGCCGAGCCTCCTGCCGCGGGCAGCACCGGGGCGAGGTTGCGCGGCCCGGCCGGGGGCAGCCGGACAGGGTAGGACAGGACAGGGTAGGACAGGACAGGACAGGGCAGGGCAGGGCAGCCGCGACCTTGGCCGCAGCGCGGGGCGGCCGGGCCGCGCCGCATCCGCCGCAGCGGGCCAGGAGCTAACGCACCGCGGCGGCCCCAGCACGGGAACCGCCGGGCTCCTCCCCCGCTCCCCTCCGCCCGCCGAGCAGGACCCGCCGGGCCGCCCCGGGGCAGCGGCCCGGGGGGCTGCGGCTGGCGGGGCGTCCTCCTCGCCCCCGCCGCGCCCCGC